TAGCTCATATGGCCATCCAATGGTAGCTGCGACCATGGAAATCTCAGAATAGGCAGTTGTGATATAAAATTCCCAAACGGGAATAGCTAATTGGTTGATTTTAGTCAAGAAACATCGTTTTATAGCTTAATTAATATCTTGAACTTGAGAGGGAGCTATACAACATAAAGACTTTATTATTTACAATTTCATAACTTTAGACTCGATTTCAACCGCGACAACGATCACTGAATATTGTAGGATCGAATATGCTTCCAATATGTTCAATTGAACCAAATTTATGACCCCATACCAAAACTTTGTATTACCTTTAAGGATTCGGTATGAGTAGGAAATTACCGCGGAGCAATTGTCACAGGTGTTAGCGTCGTATAATCAGTCAGGAACACACGGGTCCACTTTTAGAGTCCAAAAGCTCCACACAAAAAAGCATGTCTACATGATTATGCATTATTCTATGCTTTGAATTGTACTATGTCCTATTTGTACTGAAACCATCCTTTTTATCATGAAACTCAATCAAACAGATACGCTGTCGGAAGCCGCTCATCAATCCACAAAATGAATTTTTGAATTCCCGTAGTCCACTTTAAAAAAAAAGTCATGTTCCATTTCCAGAAGTCTACTTCACAAGAGAAGATGAGATGCGATATATCTTACCCTTTTTGATGTTAGGTATGCCCTCCATTAAGCTAGAGGGGATATGAAGCTGTCATGAATGTCGGTATGATTTCCTCTCACTCTATCAAGCGGGGTGGAGGCGAAGTGACTAAGCCCTGATTTTGTATACTTGAAGAGAAGCCTTGGTTCTGGTTGGAAAGGTGGAAAGTAATTTGAGAGCTCCTCATTCTTTTATCTGATTTATATATGTGGAAGAGTGCCACAGTAGTATTGCACGCGAGAAAGGTTGGTCTTTTGGGGCCCTCACATTCCCAAATATGATAACTAATTTTCGTCAGTTGCAAGTTGAAATAATAGTTAAATCTTTAGACCTGATGTGGATGCCGCGTGTGCATAGTCCGATATGCCATGTGTTGTGTGCACCGCTTTTCCCCTCTAAAATGGTTTTCGATGAGATTGTGTCAGTTTGTTATCAGCCTAATAAATATATATAATACCTCATAATTGTTATGCTTCATTAAAACTATGTGTCCTGTTATTGTAAACATCATATTTCCCTCGCATTGTCATGGTATTAGCTGTCAACATACAAGCATTGTAGGTGGGGTGGGAATGGTTTCATGTCACTAAAAAGAACGAAGCTACAAGTTTCTAAGGAGCTAACTTGAAAAGATCTTCTCTTTTTTGGAAGGGGGGCGGGGTTGGGGAGGGGGGGGTATAATCTACACTCAAGAAATGAACAACAATACATTAAGATGGAAACGGTTTCATTGCCCGTTATTATTATCCGAACATTACCCTAATCATCGCCTTTAATATTTCCCAACAATGGAAACAGCAGTCAACTGCAATCAGTGATATACCCCCGTATTTATTTTTAGGGCTCTTCTCTTTTTTTGCAAATCATGTCCGACGATTTTGAAAGGATATCGTAGTATTATTGAGTTAGCCAAGAAAAATGTCGTGTTCCCCTGAATCACAAATTATGTACCTCAATGTTTACATTGGCGCTGACAGATGTAGTTTCTACAAACTTGAGAAAACTTTCCCGAAGTATAATGTTTGAGCGTGAAACATTGGTTTAGACTGTTGAAGTGAAACGTAAAACCATTGTATTGGATGGGGCAGGGGTGAATGAGGGGAATCAATTTGGCAGTGGAATTGCGTTCCTTAATGCGGTGGTCAGATGTAATTGGTGAAGACGTATCGAAAGCAGGATGAGCTGTTTAAGAACAATGCACCTTTGAATGTATTGAAGATTTGTTTGTACTTATTAGGAAATCCATTATTTCTCTCAGTCTCTGTCTCTGTCTCTCTGTCTCTCTCTCTCTCTCTTTGTCTTTCTCACTCTCTCTCTCTCTCTCTCTCTCTCTCTCTCTCCCTATCTATCTATGTTTCTATCTATCTTTCTATCTCTCTTGGTCTTCCTCCCATTTTCCCTTTCCCTCAGTCATTGTCCATCTCTCTCTCTCTCATCTATCTACAACGTTATACTTACACCACCACACCAGTACTAATACTATACTACTTCTTCTTCTACTACTACCACTTCTACTACTATACTACTACCAATTTGGTTTCTATTTTATCTTCTACGATGTGCCAACATTTACTTTCAAGGTGGATGTAAAATATTCTAGTTTCAATGTTTTTGGTATAAATCTTTACAATGATCTGTCTTACATCAAAATGTCGAGAATAACTGGACAGCCCAGGGGCTGACGATTCTGATTGGGGAGGATGAGGGTATCGAAATTTTTGTTCAACATGCCAAAAAGAAAAGAAAAGTGCGTTTCATATTAAAATTACCGATAAGGGTAATGTAATTTGGCCAGTTATTTTTTCGATTGATATTGTGATTTTACTCGTAACGTATCACAATCATACATGTAAGTAAAGTACTTCCTGAAGGAAAGACGAAGTAGTTGAATAATCCTTATCAAAGATTTGATCTATCTTCATTTCCTTATGCAGTTCTTTTTTTATCTGTCTCGCGGGTTGACAGTCTACCAGAATGCGCCCACAAAATACAAACAAGTAAATAAACAAAAATGAAAGAAATACATCATGACGTGAGAACCGCGCCAATGAAGAGGCTTCACATGATCAAACAGGTCGATGTAATATATTTATAGCCAACCTCAAATGCTGTAGAACTTTGCAGGAATTATGAATATGTCATGTATGTCCTATCTGTGAAATTTAAACGTTAGCAGTGTCCTCATATTCAAATTATGCAAGGAAACCTGTTTACTTGCTAGACTTCACTGTCAGACACTATTGAGTGACTGACTGGCTTTTTTCTTCTTTGGTAATAACATACATGAAAAGAGTTGTAAAGGGTACATGAGCATTTGTCTACATCAATAACCCACTTCTTGTGATGGCCAAGATTAAACTGATTGAATCTTTGCGCAGCATAAAACGTAAGACCATTCGGTACAATTGTCTGAAAATCAAGACTATTACTTTTTGGCTCTATAGCCCTGAAGTCGATTTGACAACTAATAGTCGTTATTTTCCCACTTGAAGACATTTTCAAGCCCCACCTTTTGTAGGGAAGTTCTAAATTAGTATTATCTTTCAAATGCAATTGGAATTTAACTTTTTCATTTTTTTGGCCTGCAAATGGGATATAGTACCTTTAAGAGAGGAGATGTATATACTTGATTTCGATTGTTCAAGGACTTCACAATTGCCTTTAATTATTGTTAAACACCCAAGAAAAGCTGTATTCTGTGTTTAAACGTTGTAAATGGTTAACATTTCGATTGCGACCAATTCAAAAGTGTTCCATGTGTACAAGTAATGTAAGAATTAATAATAATTAAGATAAATCAATTATTTATGTGCGTATAATTTACAAAGATTGTGTAAAATAAGAATTAAAATTAAACATTTTACAGAACACGTTTACTGATTGTTGTAAAAACAACCTGTAAACAGAATATACCGAACATATCTTGAACGCAACAATGGGGAATTCGTGTATTTTAGGGTAAATATATTTTGCAAACACGCTTTACACCAGATTATTCACGGTATTGTATTTTTGATTTACCATTTGTATTTTCAAAGGGGATCAATCGTTTATCACGTAATCGCCCAAAATAAAGCGGGGCATCCTCGCATAATTATTTCCTCTCTAAAAATCCTATTTCTAACGATTCTGTTTTTACTGCTATAACATGCAGGAAGTCATTACCTGTATTTTACCTGTTAACTCTATACGCAGTACTACATGCATTAATGACTGACGATGGAAGTTGAGATGGTGTCATTAAATTCGCCCCTTAAATTTAAAGTTATCAATTTATTAATTGGAATTACCCGAAAATTATAGTAAAACTAAGAAGGAAGAACGAAAATGGGGGGGGGGGGGCCTCCCTTGGAAATTCTATCTCTCTCTCTCTCTCTCTCTCTCTCTCTTTCTCTCTTCTCCCTCAATATCTCTCCACCTTTCTGTCCCTCTCCCCCCTCTCTCTCTCTCTCTCTCTCCCTCCCTTTGTCTCTATCTCTCTTGTCTCTATCTCTCACCAATGGCGTAGTTTGGGCTCCGCTGTTGAGGGGGCGCATGCATCATGGGGGCGCCGTTCTTGGGATGATATGCAAAATAACAAGGTAGTTGATTACAGGGAAAATTTTGGGGAGGGTCCTAGTTATCTTTGCTTATATCCCCTTCTTTTTGTTTTTCTGCTTTCTCTTTCTTCACAACCATTTGATATGGGCACGTGCCCCCTGCCCCCTCACCCTTCCTCCCTTACCTTAGATTTACCAATGAAAGTTCCAACAACTCGTACTTTTCTGCGATTTATTTTTTTATTTTTTAAGGAATTTGTTTTAAAAATATATTTAAAAAATATTTAAAAAATATAAAAATAAAGTAAGCCTAATCCTTTCCCAAATTTCTTGACGTAAAATATCGTACATCTCCATCAAATCAGGTCAGATCTATTTCGCGCTAAGACCATCGAAAATGGTTATAAATGACACTAGCATTTTAGCAAGGCCATTACCGAGAACTCTGTCAGAACAGAATAACGGCGGGGATTTTCAAACTTTCTTCCCTATCAATCTTTCTCTTTTACTATAGCCACTTTATTGACCAATGGAAACTAACAATGCCCTCTCGAAATTGATACTTAAACGTATGAGGTCTGAAATTATGATATAAATGACACGATAAGCACCTATGTGGTCGAAACTGAACTCCAAGCATTTCGTTTTATGCACTCTGTCCACTTTTGTTAATTAAGCGTGTTTTAATGGTAATAGGAAGAAGCATGTCACAAAGTGCCTCGTAGATCTATACAGTGACCAACCGACTGTCATGTTTGGTTAAAAACGAATACATTGCAGGGACCTCTCTAATTAATGTCTTTCCCCTTTTCTTTCCCCCTTCGTCCAGCACGTTCAGGCAGTTGTTTCAGCACTGCGAATTAGTTTGCCTGAGTCAGAGCGCGCAGAAGCGGGTCGCGGAGAGGGGGCAACTTTCACTTCGCCTGTAAAATAAGTTGCAGAACGAGAGTCGCGCCTACCGTCATTATTATTCGTTCAACTTTCTACGGCTCTGGTTTTAAAATGGATATAAGCAGGCTATGTCGGTGTTCCTTGCCGGCGATTTTAAGACACCTTGTATTTCTAGTGCTTTCGTGGAATTGTGGAATGGTTACGTGTGAAAATGATGGTACTATTTTAAAACTGGTGGAAAAGGATCAAAATGTAAATAGACCTTTACGCGATTTCTTGACTCGAGGAAGGGTAAAACGTTCGACGGGGTTCACGAGAAACCAGCAACATTCTATTGTGGAATTACATAACAGGTTTCGAGGCGAAGCAGTCCCTCCTGCTGCGAATATGGAACATTTGGTGAGTACAATAATCCTCTTTCCAAGTGCCCAGCTTTAACATTAATCTATGTCATTTTTATAGTAATGGTGAAAATAATGGCAGTAGTAATATTAAAACATCTTACACAGTTTTATATTTCTTAGGCATTATTGATGGCGATAACATCACCATTTTGCTTTGAATGCACATGTACCAATTGTATCCACAGTGTATCACAGAGTTTGTTAATTTTATAGTAAACCATTTTCAAAGCATTTTACTTTGAACTAAGCACGTGCATGCATCAAGGTGACCACATGCACATACATGTAAACAAACGAAACATGCAAAGCACTGTTGACAAGAATTATTGTGAATGTATGTCATAAAGGAACCAATGATGCAGAAAATAAAATATGTATATTCAAATAGGAATATTATGATTCATGAGCCAACTTAAAGAAAATATAACAGTCCTGTAACTGTATAATTTATTTTGTTCTATACATTTATAACAATATACAGACAAGCATATTCAATTTGAATTCTCAAAGACTCCCTGGAAAAACTGAATGCATGGATTGCGATAGAAAATGAAAGGATATAATCATCTCCATGCCGTTTGGATTTGATATCCTATAAGGCCTATTTTCACCTCGTAGACAGTAATGACAACCATTGATGTAGCTTTATTATATAATATTTTAAAGGAAAAATATAAGTGGTTATCCCATCTTTAGTGAATCTATCTTAAACTGCTTTATAAACAAAATAGCAACAAATATTAAACACAATATATCTCTAACTGTATTAAAGGGGGGGGGGCAGCAATAATATTGTAGTTTTGGTTAAGTACAGGTGGAACATAATCAAAGTCATTTCCTAGGAACATAATTTCCATCGGATATTTTGTAGCACAATGATTATGAGTAGGACTGTAACCAAAAGTAAATATATTGTTATCGGTAAGATGAGACTATGCCATTTAAGCGGAAGGCGGATTTTCAACACAATCAAAAGTGATTGAGGACCCATATCTATCGATAGCCCTCAGGGGTAACAACTCATCCTTTCAAGGCCCACTGCACTACTTGTAGCTACTTGCGCCCTCTATATAACAAACCATGCCTAATCGGTGACCATTGGTCCCCCATGATCCTCTTTTTCTTATGTTAACTGAGAGCTGAGTTGATGAGATAACCACCTGTCAAGTGACCTTGCAGAGCGGTCTAATCCCTCCTGTAAACTATGGCAGATAAGCTTTAAGAAAAAATGTCCCTTCTAGTTCTCAGCAGACAATCCAAAGGTGGCCGATATTTCAGCTCAAGTGCTTGTAAAAATTATCATACTGTATGCGATGACTATTCTGAGATATTTAACATCTTATATTAAAGCGGGACTACACTACGTGTAGCTACATGTACTTGCGCCCTCTATACCGCCAACAATGCCCAAGCGGTACCCGTTGATCCCCCATGGTCCCCTTTTTCTTATGTTAATTGAGAGCTGATTTGATGAGATAACCACCTGTCAGTGACCATGCAGGGAGGTCTAATCCTTCTGGCCAAACTAGTGCAGATAGGCTTTAAATAGTATTTCTATTTTAAAACCCCTTTCTTTCAAAAGATGCTCTCCTCTTTTCTATTTCCTTGTATGGATGGGGATTTTATTTTTTTCTTAATTTCAGGAAGAACTCAGTTGTGGAGTTTGTGGTCAATGTATATCGATATGTTCGTGCCTAGTGTATTCATTTATCTACCAGCGTTTCGACGTTTTTAGCACAAGTCTCGATAACTGACAATCAAGTGTCACTCAACGAAAGTTTCTAAAGCTATAATTAAAGTCTCGATTCATGGAAACGTCCTTCGAACCTTAAGAGCGGCCTACATTACATTCATAAAAAATATAAAAAATCTGAATTTGAGCCAAGAGCCATGAGCATTTATCACAAATAAAGTTTTACTTCTATACCATATATTACTGACCGGCAATGAGTTCTCTCTGGCTTCGTGATATAAGATTAATCACGTTAATTGGTTACATACAATCCCGGTTTGAATGTTAGACGTATTCATGCAGGAATATTAGATTGCAGATTAACTTTAAGCTCGTTTTTAATTTACGAGATTCATCTTATTTTTAGAGTCTCAAATTAACAGGGATGGTTTTGAAGATATGCCCCCAAACTCACTCTTTTTGATTGCCAAGTTTGCTCTCAAAATATTGAACGATAATCTTAATTTTCTGGAAAGTTTGCGCATTACGGTTGCATTAATTGTAAACCTCTGGGGGTACAACTACAGTCAAACCTGTCTATAGCGACCACCCAAGGGAAACACAAAAAAGTGGCCTTTGTAGACAAGTGGTCTTTGTAGACAGGTTCCTTTAGTACATGATTCAATGAGAAACCATTTCCAAGGGAAACAACAAATGTGGCCTTTGTAGACAGGTGGTCTTTGTAGACAGGTTCCTTTAGTACATGATTCAATGAGAAACCATTTTCAAGGGAAACAAAGAATGTGGTCTTTGTGGACAGGTGGTCACTAATGCAGGTTTGACTGTACATGTAGGTGGCACGATCAGAGATCGCAATGTTAGCTATCGATGTAATTCATGTATATAATCAAATTTTGATAATGTAAATGTATATGTAAAGAAATTAATGCAATTAATGGTTCATATTCTTTTCGTTTAAAGACATGGAGCGACAATTTAGCAAAAGCGGCCCAGACCTGGTCAGAAAACTGCACCTGGGGCCACGGGCCCTCCGGAGCCGTGACCGTTCAGTATGGCCAGAATGTTTGGCTCGATAAGGCAGCCACCACTGCGAACCCTGTGGGAATCACGGCCACTCGTGGATGGTTCGAGGAAAGTAGGTTCTACGATCATGCGACCAACGACTGCAGCGGGGAGCAGTGCGGACACTACACTCAGGTAGGTTCATGGTTCGATACTCGTTTGGGTATGTTTTGAGTATATTTTCGTTGTTGCATATGAATTGTGTTTGTTTGTTTGTTTTTAGCAGTCGTCAAATTGTTTCTGTCCATTTCTTCGACCCACAAAAACGAACATAATAATAAATGGCTTAGTCAGGGTTTGAATTGTATCTGCATTTACAAACAGAAACATCCAGACGTATTCATATGCTTCACTATTTATCTATTAATAACCATCAGTCGAGTAGTTATTGAAATAATAATAATATCTTAAGAAGTACCCATGCCAATAAACACTTAAGGACCACAACGCCCCCACGTTGAGTCGATGGACAATGATGTTGCAAATGATCACGACTTGCGGTAAACGGTCACAAGACCTTACCATCAAATCTAAACTCGAAACCGATATTGACCATAAGCTTTGGCAAGTGATTGATTTATAAAAAGTGAAAGTGGTGAAGAAATTTGTATATATATAAAAGAAAAGCTTTCATATGTTTTTGTTCCGTTCAAACTCGGTTACGATGCAGTTTAAAAATTTCCTCATCTGTAAGTGATTTGCAAGTAATGATATTGTTCAAAACCAATGAATGCGGTTTTCCAAAACTTTCTTTATCTTTGTAGTGTGGTTTTATATGTAATTGGTAACTGTCATGTGGTCTTCTAAATGTTGAACAAAACCCCCGGACAAAACCACGAAAGCATTCATTGATGTCCATCTTTTGTTGTACTCCTAAAATGTGATGGTTTTGTAGAGGATTTTTTTTGTGTGTGTTTATACCGCATGTTCTCTTAAAACTGTAATAATTTGTATAGACGAGAAAACCTTGTCGTTTTGTGAAGACAGTTTTCTTGATTTTGTCTTTGCCGAATGAAAATACAAATGATGGTAATAATAGTGATAATCATGATTATATGATAATTAGCATGCAAACACTTCATTGACAGGGCAAGCATATACATGCCATACTTGAATGAATAATTACTATTTAATTTACGATATCATGTTGTATTTCCTGTAATCAGGAACATAACACTCTGATCAGTTTTCGCAATGCTATGCAGAGATACTTAACTTTTATTTTTAAATTAATTTAAAGAAATTTATAGAAATTGTTAGGAAATATACTGTCTCGGCATTCAAAGAGTTAAGACATCCTTCTGGGTCACGATTCTGTTTCTAATTCGGGAACTAATCCTTCCTGCCTTCCACTCATGATAACATGCGGTCGATTTTAGCTCTTTAAAAAATGTCCCCCATCGCGCTAAAAATTTCACCCATTTTACAAGGACGGTGAGAACTATCGCGAGAATGAGTTCCATCTCTCCGCTCTGGTGGACCGGATATTTGATAATTCATATTGCGCCGAACCTCGAATGGTGTTTTATTTTTGGACGAAGAGAAAGGCTCGGTACTGCACAGATCCAATCAAGTTTAATCCCTTTTATTATCTCCCCACCATGGGATATAAAGAATAGACATCACACGTTATGAAAGTGGTATGTGAATTTTTCTGGATGATGATGAATACACTTACATTTTTCACCGCATTTCACAAGCTGGGCATATTGGGTGTTGGGTGCTAAAATAGACGGGACCTTCATGCTCATCTACACTACATTCAAGCATCACGATATATCGGTGGATGTTGCAGGAAATCGCGTGATTGCTGGGTAAATTCCACTGTAACCACTGGCCTCATGGAAGGCCACCACTATTGGTGAAAATGTGTTACCCTGTACAAAGGTCAGAGATAAATAAATAAATAAACATTGCGATATTTTGGGGGGATGTTGCAGGAAACAGCGTGATTGCTGGGTAAATTCAACTGTAACCACTGGCCTCATGGAAGACCACCACTATTGGTGAAAATGTGCAACCCTGTATAAAGGTCAGAAATAAATAAATAAATAAATAAACATCTCAATGTTGGGGTTGGGGAAAAGGTATTCTCACACGGTTTAAGTTTGTAAGTTTGTTAAAAGTAAATCTAAATGAGTATGGGCTGATTGTATTTTGAATATAATCATCCAAAAGATGTCTTAATAGAGGCAGAGAAAACCATTGAGGTTCAGTGTCGGATTCATGGGGAAGTGGTATGGAGGGGGTGGGGGGGGGGGGGGGTCACCCCCAGCAAAATCCAATCTGGCACCATACCTTTATTATCGGGTACAAGGTAATGCGTCACCGGCAACAAATTTTGCCCCAAGGGCCCCTGGTTACATGTACAGTTTGTTAGGATACGAGAGTGCCCTCATGTTGGGCTTTTTGTTAATGTTTTACTCGGTACAGTAATTTGTTTTAAAGTGCAGCTAATCATCATCACTTTGCCGAAATGACTCGAGGGTGTACATCTAAACATGTCCTTCAAACTAATGAAGGTACTTGCATGATGTCATCCGGATAAACAGTACATGACTATTTCCAGGGTCTGTGATTCAGAGAGAAATATTCTAATCAAATATAGTTCTGTTCGGTCCCTCGCCTAGTGATTCATGTTGGGCTCTGGATCGACGCCAAAATGTGGACAATGTTTGAGACATCATGATCAAAAGGGAGGTTTGAATGGCAGTATTCATTCGTACTTCCTCGTCTATTTTGAAGAGTTGGCAACAATTTAATATAATAATTGCATGTGTCCCTTCTCATTGAATAACTATTGTTCATGGTATCTTTAAAGCTGATTTAGAATGCCTTGTGTTTGTCATATTCATCATGTTCTGGCAACGAATGTTGTAGAGGGGGAACCGAAATGGCACACAAATAACTTTGCTCCAATATTATGCTTTCTCTACACAATGCTCACATTTTTTTTCCCATTTTTTTTTTTTTACCCCAGTGAGCATGAGTTCTCCTTATCCTAACATAATATTACCAGCAAACGTATGAGAGTGTATATGGAGCAGTTTATTTTGTATTTATTTATTCATTTTATTTGATTCTATTAGTATTATTTATTTATTTTATTCTTATTTATTTATTTATTTTGTATATATATTTGTTGGGGGAGGGGGGCAACGCTAGAGGTTGGGAAGGGTAGATGTAGGATGCGACACTAATACCCCTATTTAAAATTATTTTTGCAAAGTTTGAAATATTGTATAGCCTATGAGGGAAAGCTTCATAATATGGTAAAAATGGATCCAACACCTCTAAGGAAAATGGTCATGGAATATTAAATAAAATAAAATAAACAAAGGGGGGCGAGGTCCCTTATTAAATATTAACGTAGTATTTAGAGCTTCTTTATAAGCTTAAAACAAAATGAATTCTTATATCTTTCACTCGTGTATTTGTGAAGGCCTTGAACGACGCCAATAAAATGAGACCGATGTAATTCAATCCACCGCGAGTATTATTACAAATTAAAAATAAATCAGATAAACAAGCGTTCTCTTCACATTGTCATTCACAAGGATGCGGTAAATGGGACGACAATAAATTCAAGTGGAAATCATCTTCTATGCCAAACCATCAACATCAAAGTCCGGGTGCTCTAAGTGTCTCTGAAACTAGAATTAAAGTGTCATGTGTGGATTTGGAACCGAATAGCATTCGGAGGGACGGGATCTTCCCTCCATATTAATGGTGATCCTTCCTCTACCGCGTGACAGATATGACTTGCTGTTTGGATTAGCTTTTGCAGTTAGAGTAAAATTATGTTCTTATAGCCCGTCATGAAAAACGACGATGTCATCATGTCAGTCCTCAAACCTTGTAGCTACAAATTTCTGATTTCCAAATTCAATATCATCTTTAAATAGTCACTGACCACTGCCAACTTCTCACTTATATTATTATAAGCCTCAATACAAATAATATACGAAACAAAACATGCTGAATACTGTATATTAGATCTTCACATCTCATTCTCTAACCTTTTGCAAAGATTATGCCTAAATATAAACTGAGAAAATGTTAAAGTATTTAATATCAAAACGTTATTGACAATCGTCACTATTTTATGCATAAAAGACATTTGCATAATCAATGGTTGAATTGATATGATGTTCAAGTACAGAAATTTCATTCAGAGAGTATTTCTTCAAAGGCGTAATATGTAGCATACTTCGGAGGTCAATGTCTTCAGAATTATGTGTTTCCTTTGGCGGATGAAACATTGAAAAGGAATTTTTGATGGGCGATAAAACGACAACTCCTCTAAAAAGTGCACATTTTATTGTTGTTATTGTTTTTATAACACCTTAAGACAAGCACATGATATTCATTTTCTTTTCTGTTGCTGTTACATTATTGGGCGTGACGGAATGTTGAATTCCCTGCATACCACGTCCTATGACCAATTTCTAGGTTTCAATTTGTCCAGCATTCATATATTAATGGTTGGCAGATTGTCTTGCAGTAAGAGGTAGGTCGAGAGAGAGACAGAGAGAGAGAGAGAGTTATAGTCAGACAGACAGACATGCAGGCAGACAGCGGAAGAGAGAGAGAGAGAGAGAGAATGCCAGAATGTTTCAAATGTTTACGCATATAAGTACGTTTAATTGGTCTCCTTATGGATATCTCATTACTCCTAATCATAACAGTTGGTGTTCCTAATGACGCATCCCTCCTGGAAATGACATGAAATCTTTAAACATATATATTAAGTAAGATCACATTTAAGAAATACAATACGCATAAGTCTAGTATCATGCCGGTATATATTTGCTTGAGGGAATAATAACAACTCAATTTGACAGTATTTGGATCGAATGGAGTTCAAAGCGAGTGTGGGCGAAAAAGAGAGAGAGAGAGAGAGAGAGAGAGAGAGAGAGAGAGAGAGAGAGAGAGAGAGAGATAATACGTCGGACAGACAGCAAGACAAAAGTTACTGCGCATACTTCATCATCTCAAACTGCTCCACAAGTAGTTCATGAGGAAGTTTGTCACAAAATTATAGTATACTATTATTAATATGCTATCAACATGAATAAATGCGACAATCGGTTATTATTGCAGAACTCCGAAGCCATGATGTTTCCATTGATAAA